GAGGAGCGCGAACAGCTTCGAGGCTCGGGTCTCGACAGAAAAGAAGCCATTGCTCTCCACAGCCACGAGGAGCCCAGGGTGGGGCTCGTTAGGAGAGAAGAGGGTGAGGCACCCCTCCGCCACCCTGCCCCCACCAGCTGCCCCCACCCCGTCACTCAGCCCCCTGGGCCGTCCTCAACTGTTGGAGTTGCCCCCTGCCGTAGGCACCCCCTCAGGAGCGGACCCCCACTCCGAACGCTCTTGTGAATTATGTCCGCCCGAAGCGGGCCCCTCGACTTCTCTGGGTGCCCTCACCGCCTGCCTTACGCCGTTCAGTTTTTTGAGACGAGGTCTCATGTAGCCCAGGCTGGCCGCAATCGTAGCGGGTTGAGGATGACCCTGAGCGCCTGGTCTCCCTGCCTCCACTCTCTGAATTTTGGAGTTACAGACCTTCACCACCATGCGAGCTCCTCTTTCCTGCCCTCCTTTACTATTTCCATTTCCTGTCTTGTGGACCTTGCCGAGCCGTGGATATCCTCTCTGTCCCAAATCTCGTTCTAGTCCCTCAAGTTCCTCACGAGCTCGTGATCTTGTTCCCAACTTCCATTTTTTTGTGTTGTTCTTTTTGAGACACTATCTGGCTGTGTAGTCTTAGCTGGCTTCCAACACATGATGCAAGGGGGATGAATATATCAGGTAGCATCCTGCTTGGTCCATCATTCATTCATTTATTAATTCATTTTGTCCTTTTGTTTGTTGGCTTGTTTTTCAAGACTAGGTTTCTCTGTGAAGCCCTGGCTGTCCTGGAACTTGCTTTGTAGACCAGGCTGGCCTCGAACTCACAGAGATCTGCCTGCCTCTGCTTCCCAAGTGCTGGGGTGAAAGGCAAACACCACCCGGCTTATTTATTTTTAACATTTAATATCACACACACACACACACACACGGCACTAGCCACTGAGTATAGGAACCTAGGTTCATGCAGTTGTTAGGCAGGTGCTCTATTACTGAATTGTATCCCAGCTTTTATTTTTTCAGTGCTCAGGGTTTCATGTGTGCAAGCTCAGACTTTTTTTCTTGTAAAATTTATTTAAATTTTTTTTGTGTGTTTGTGTGTGTGTGTGTGTCTATGTGGGAATATGGGGAATGTGATTGCAGATGCCTGCAATAGCCAGAAGAGGACATCACATCCCCTGGAGCTAGAGTTAGGCTCCTCTGAGATGGGTGCTGGGAACTGAGCTTGGTCCTTTGAAAAAGCACTGAGTGCTCTTAACTGCTGAGCCAGCTCTTTAATCCCCTAAAACAGGCTTTTTAAATTTTTTATTTTTAGACAGGGCCTGTGTTACTTAGGTTGGTTTTGAATTCACTCTGTAGCCCAGGCAGGCCTTAAACTTCTGCTTCTTCTGCTTCACCCTTCTTGAACAGATGGGATTAGAGGCCTGGCCATCATCTTTTAACTGTTTTTTCCATGTTCTTGTTCCCTGTTACTCTGTCCCCATTTCCTGATCTCTTTTCCTACTAACTGTCACTACCTGGACCTCATTTTTGACTCCTGTGGCCCGGCCTTTTCCAGTGGCTCTCTGTTCACTTCTTTTTCTCATCTCTCTAAATAGTATTCTTCCTTTGCCCTGACCGTCTTCTCCCACTTAGCTACTGTCCCTGATTTATCTGCATCTGATGACCACCATGCCTTCTAGGCCATCATGGACCCTCGGGGACCGGTCTCTCAGCCTTTCCAGCAGCTTGAGAAATCTGGTCGTATCCGGCGTCGCAAAACTAGGAGGGAGCGAAACAAGGCCCTGGTGAGTGGCTACCGGCCACTGGCCCGTCAGGATCCTCCCGCGTCCAGTCGGGATCCATCTGTGATCCTCCAGGATCCTGTGGCGTCTGCAGCCCCCAAGCTTGTCGTCATAACTCAAGGCAGATTGAGCCGGGAGCACCGGGGTCTCTTCAACCATGAAGTGAAGTCCCTGGATGTGGCCCGGCTGCTTAACAGTGGCTCCTTGGAACCATGTACCCCCCCACTACCCACAAAGTCCTCCTGCAGCCCAAGCAGAGTCCAGGAACCAGCCTTAGAGGCAAGAGGCAAGGAGAACCAGGCACCGGGAGGTGTAGACTCAAGCCCACCAAGTTCCCCGGAGCTCCCTGTGTTGGGGCAGCTGCTGGAGGAGCTGCAGTGCCAGCTGATTCTGCCACAAGCCTTTCCTACGAGGGACCTAGTGCAGGAGTCCAGGGATGCCATCCTAAGAACCTTACAAGGCTGCCATGGCTGCGTGCCGGATCTTGCCCTGGTGCTCCGAGGTTGTCAGTCACCCTTGCCTGGTGAGTCCACTTCCTATCCCCCATCCTTCTTCCCTTTCACTTCTCTCCTGTGGTTCAACTGATCTCCATGCTTCTTTCTTCTGTGCCAGAGACGAAGCCTAGCGTCCCCGAGAGACGGAGGACGACACCTTCTGGTATGGATGTTCCTGAGCATGCTCCAAGGGAGGGGAGGCAAAGGACTCAACAGGGCACGAAGGGGGTTAACTTTGCCGTGCCTCATACTTGCAGCAGCAACCCTTCACACAGGGCCAGCCTGGTGCCACCTATAGATCATCAGCTGCCCATCTTGCCCTCAGTATCTTCACCATCTGGGGTCGCGTGTGGTCCCCCAACAGCGTTTGATATGCTGAAAAGCATCTGGCTCATAGCCACCCCACCCCAGCCCCAGCCCCGGGATGTCTGCCCACCTCAACCCCTACCTCAGCCACCGTCACCCTTGCTGCCCCGAACATCTGGCAATAAGGACTTGGACTGGAGCCCCGACCCTCCTGCCCCACTGCTCAGCCTCTCCTGGGTGGTGACTCAGAGAAGCCCAGAGTCTTGGTCCTTCCCCCCAATGAAACTATACTGAGGAGACGATGGGTAGGGCTGGGGGCAGGTATCCCGTACTCCCAGTCACCTCAATAAACACCGTCTTGGTCCTCTTGATTTTCAGTGAGTGGCTGTCTCAGGAAAGCAGCTTTTTAGTTTTGTTTATTTTATGGTTTTATTTTTTTGGGGGGGGTTGTTTTTGTTTTCTGAGACAGGGTTTCTCTATGTAACCCCGGCTGTCCTGGAACTCACTCTGTAGACCAGGCTGGCCTCAACTCAGAGGTCCCTCTGTCTCTGCCTCCGGAGTGAAAGCAGCTTTCTTTAGGTCTGAGTCCTAAGGCCAGGATGGAGAAGTGTGTGACTTGTTACCTTGCTGGGGCCCGAGGGGCCGGCAAGCCTCTCGGTGCTTGGGGTGGTGGAGACAAGAGGGCTGAGAGTTCACAGTTATCCTTTGTTTGAGCCAACCTGGACTATGAATCCAATGAACCCCAACAAAACAAAACAACTCTCCCCTCTAATACACACAGGAAATTAATAATTATCCCAAGTCACATGGTGAAGACCTCACACAAAGTTTTCCCATGCATTTCCTGCCCCCACCCCACACGTGCATGCGTGCATGCGTGCGTGCGTGCGTGCGTGCATGTGTGTGTGTGTGTATATGTGTGTGTGTGTGTGTGTTTTGAAATAGTCTCCCTGTGGTAGCTCTGGTTGACCTTGTGTGTGTGTGTGTGTGTGTGTGTGTGTGTATATGTGTGTGTTTGTTTTGAAATAGTCTCCCTGTGGTAGCCCTGGTTGACCTTTGTGTGTGTGTGTGTGTGTGTGTGTTTTGAAATAGTCTCCTTGTGGTAGCCCTGGTTGACCTTTTGTGTGTGTGTGTGTGTGTGTGTGTGTGTGTGTGTGTGTGTGTTTGTTTTGAAATAGTCTCCCTGTGGTAGCCTTGGCTGACCTGAAACTTGCTATGTAGACCAGACTGGCTTAGAATTTGGGGCACTCCACCTCCGTTTCCCAAGTGCTGGGATTAATTGCTTGTACCGTATCTCACCCCAGGAATGGTATTTATTTGCCACTTTGGGAATGTAATTTAGGATCATGCACATGCTAGGCAAGCACACTACCACTGAGCTACATCCACAGCCAGAAAGCTTTTTGTTTGTGGCTCTTTGTTTTCAAACACATTCTCACTATGTGGTCCTGGCTGGCCTGGAGTTCAATGCATAGACAAGTCTGGCCTTGAACTCACAGAGAACTGCCTGTCTCTGCCTCCAGAGTCCAGGGGTTAAAGGTGTGCACCACCACCACCCCACCAGAAAGCTTTTAAAATGGCTTTTTGAGCCGGGCGGTGGTGGCACACGCATTTAATCCCAGCACTCGGGAGGCAGAGCCAGGCGGATCTCTGTGAGTTCGAGGCCAGCCTGGGCTACCAAGTGAGTTCCAGGAAAAGGCGCAAAGCTACACAGAGAAACCCTGTCTCGAAAAACAAAAACAAAAAAATGGCATTTTGAGCAGCGGTGAATTTTCTGCAGTGGAGGGTGAAGGATGCAACTAGGAATGTTGGAGTCTGAGAAGAAAAATCAAATTGGACTCTGACGCTGGAAGTCCTTCCCAGGGCTCTCAGTTGCCCCCATGGAAAATGATAGGATTAATAGCAGCTTGGGAGGGGGGAGGAAGCTACACTGGGGTCTTGGCCTAGGTTTTCTGGTAGGGAAATGGCAAAGCCAAGACTTTCACCCTGGCAGCTGGTGTGCTAGCTCCTAGATACCTCACACTGGTGTCTCAGGGCAGCTGGGGTTCACACCGTAGGGGTGGGGCAGGCAGCCATGGTGGTTTTGTTAGAGTGCTTTACCAGGTGTGTGCCCCAGAACAATGTCTCTCTCTATGTGTGTGTCTATGGGCACTTGACAGGGTTTGTGGACTCTAGGGAACGGGTCACAATAGAATAATTTGGGATCTAAATTGGGTGGGAGTGGTCAGGGCAGAGTTCACTTTTCTGGGTTGTGGGCATCCTGAAGTCTGCAGTCCGGAGGATGCCCTGCTTGTGGGAATGTGAGTTCAGTTTAGGACACACACATCTTGAGGTATCTTGGAGACTCCTATAGAAGAGAAGCAGAGCTGGGGCGAGGTGACAAGAGGATTGCAAACGGTGTTCTTTCTCGGGTGGGAAAGGCAGACGACAGTTTGGCTTCGTCCCGGAGGTGGGCGCGGAGACCGCCGAGTCCGGCGGCCCCTTTAATCGGGGGCGCGCGTTGGCCAGCCCGCGCGCTCTCGTCACCGGGCCGGAGCAGGAGCGGGAGCCGAAGCCGAGCCGAGGCCAGAGCGGGAGGAATGGAGTCCTCGCGCGCGCCCGCGCTGCGCCGCTTGCTGCCGCCGCTGCTGCTCCTGCTGCTGCCACTGTCCCCCCGCGCCCGGGCCAAGTACGTGAGGGGCAACCTCAGCTCCAAGGAGGTGAGCGCATCGAGCCATCCCCTAGCGTTCCCCGGGCAGAGGGACCCAAGAGGGGAGGATACCGCCCCGCCCCCTGCGCCCCTCCCGGGCCGGGGCCTGGGTGGCGGGGGACTGGGCTTGGGCGGAGGCTGCGGGCTGGGGGTTGCACTGTGGTTGTCGAGGTGAGGCTGGGTGGGGAGGGTCGGTTGGGAGTCGGAGTTACCGGGAGCATAGCTAGCTGCGCCGTGGGGGTGCTGTGGTGCTGAAGGGACAGCACCCCTCACTCCACCAAGTGGAGGTCGCCTGGCCTGCTCAGGACCGACCAGCAGGGAAGGTTCAGAAGATTCCTCAGGACGACATGGTCTGTGGGACCACCTGAGAGAGAGAGAGAGAGAGAGAGGCAGAGAGGCAGAGAGACAGAGACAGACAGAGACAGACAGAGAGATGGAGAGAGATACAGAGACAGAGAGACAGACAGAGAGAAACTGGCGGAATGCAGCTGAGAGAGAGCCTAGGACAGATGGTGGCAGGAATGTGCACCTGGCCATCCATGGTCTTTTTCAGTGTGTCTGGAAGATGGGGAGGAGGAGGGAAGGAAACTTGAGGGACATCTGAGAGGGAAAACCAGGGAGGCAGGAATTTGGACACACAGCAAATGGATCTGGAAAGAATTCTGGAGGTGACTTAGCCACCTTGTGGTATTTGGGAAGCCAAATAGCCCTGGGTAGGGAAGGAGAGTTGAGGGTCTCTGGGTGGGGTCCAGCTGGGTTCTTGAAGAACTCAGATCTCACTGGGTCATTTTGCCAGGACTGGGTCTTCCTGACAAGATTTTGTTTCCTCTCCGATTATGGCCGACTGGACTTCCGATTCCGATACCCGGAGGTGAGTCTCCCTAGCCACACTCCTGAGGCTGGACACTACCTTGGCCCTCCAAGGCAAAAGCTGTCCAGTTTCCCGTAAACACCCCCGACCCACCAAATCTCTGGGTGTCCAGGCCAGGTGCTGTCAGAACATACTCCTTTATTTCGACGACCCCTCCCAGTGGCCAGCTGTGTACAAGGCAAGGGACAAGGTGAGGGCTGCGAGGAGCGTGTGGGGCCTGTGTGGGGGGCAGAAAGCCACAGCCACTCAGGGTGACCATGGCCCTGCCCTGCCCGCCCTAGGACTGCTTGGCCAAGGAGTCTGTGATCAGGCCGGAGAACAACCAGGTCATCAATCTCACCACTCAGTATGCCTGGTCAGGCTGTCAGGTTCGAGGGGGCACACAGGGGCTGAAGGTGGGGGGCTGGTGGCACCAAGGACAAGGCTTCAGCCTCCTGCCTTCTCCCCAGGTGGTGTCAGAAGAGGGAACTCGCTACATGAGCTGCTCCAGTGGCCGCAGCTTCCGCTCTGTGCGTGAGAGGTGGTGGTACATTGCACTCAGCAAGTGTGGGGTAAGGGGTTGGGGCAGCATCTAGCTTTTTGCTCCTCTTTCCCTTCCTGTTGACCTCCCCTACCTGCCCGGAGCCCTTCTTAGGCCTCTCCGCTCCGCACAGGGAGATGGGCTGCAGCTGGAGTATGAGATGGTCCTCACCAACGGCAAGTCCTTCTGGACACGGCACTTCTCAGCTGATGAATTTGGTGAGCAGATATTGGAGGAACGGGCCAGAATGGAGGCCAGGGGTGGGTAGAGATGCCCGCTCAGAAAGCCTTCTCCTAGCCCTCCCATTGACTCCTAGGGATCCTGGAGACGGATGTGACCTTTCTCCTCATCTTCACCCTCATCTTCATCCTCTCTTGTTACTTTGGATGTGAGTACAGTATATGTGGTGGAAGGGTTAAGAGAAGTGGGAGAAGCCGGATGGCGGTGGTGGTGCGCGCTTTTAACCCCAGCACTCGGGAGACAGAGCCAGGCGGATCTTGGTGAGTTTGAGGCCAGCCTGGGCTACAAAGCAAGTTCCAGGATGCCTAGGGCTGCACAGAGAAACCTTGTCTCAAAAAAAAAAAAAAAAAAAAAAGAAAAGAAAAGAAAAGAAAAATAGAGAGAAGCAGGAGAGAATTTAGAGGGAAATACCCCTCCCCCACTTGTGTACAGCTCTTCCCGTTTCCTTCTCAGATTTGCTGAAAGGCCGACAGTTACTCCATACAACTTATAAAATGTTCATGGCGGCAGCAGGCGTGGAGGGTGAGGTTTGGAAGTATTCCAGATTTGGGGTTCCCTGAGAAGTCAGCCTGGGGAGGAGGGCATGGACTCCTGGGTCTGGGGGAGGAGGAGGTCCCTCTGCACTCTTGGGTCTGAGGAAAGTGATGCTGTTGTCTGGCCTGATGGGCTTGAGGGAGGAGAGGCTGGGGCCAAGGCCTCCATAGTTTCCTAGCAGGGCTCAGTAACAGAGATTCTGGACTTCTGATGGGGGCGGGGAGGGTCTGACATTGGATCATGTGCTAGAGGATGGTGATATCCCAGAGCTGCTTTTTGTCTTTTCTTTCCTCGGTCTCTCATCTCTCCCAGTCCTGAGCCTCCTGTTCTTCTGCATCTACTGGGGCCAGTACGCCACAGATGGTGTTGGCAATGGGAGCCTGAAGATCTTGGGTGAGAATAGACTGGAGGCGAGGGAGGGCAGAAACCTCACCAGGGGTCTGCTGCCCACCCTGAGCCTATGCCTGAGCTATCTTCCCTTCCCTTCCCAGCCAAGCTGCTCTTCTCCTCCAGCTTCCTCATCTTCCTGCTCACGCTCATCCTTCTGGGGAAGGGATTCACGGTGACACGGTGCCCGGGCAGGGATCGCTCAATGGGTGGCTGGGCTGGGGAGCAGGGCAGGGAGGCGGAGGTGGGGTGTGTGGCAGCTCCCTCCTCCCTGACAGCATCCACCCTGCTGTCTCCCCTCACGGGCTGCTTGCCAGAGGCCGCATCAGCCACTCGGGCTCCGTGAAGTTGTCCGTGTACATGACCCTGTACACGCTCACCCACGTGGTACTGCTCATCTATGAGGCAGAAGTGAGTGTCCAGGGCTCCTGCCAGCCCTCTCCTTCCTACCCTGCCCACTGCCCCTCCCACAGAGCATCCACTCTCCCACTCTGAGTTTCTGCTTCCCATCTGTCTTTCAGCGATTCCTCCCTCTTCACCGTTTCTGATTAGCTTTCCTCCTCCTCGTCTCTCACTGTCTGTCACTGTTAAGCTCCATGTCGAGGAGTCAGAGACCTAGTTCTGTTTAAGCTCCCCCACTTCCTAGCTGGTCACTCCCACCCCTACTATGGGCTTGTTTCCTCCTCTGAAAAGTTACGGGGACCTTAGCCACCTTCAAGCCTCTTTAGAGGCTCTATGTCACCTGTGTGGGGTGACAGTAGGGTGGCATCCTTCATTGTGTCACTGTGGATGGAATAAGTCACACGTGGTGTGAGTTACAGCTGTAGGCTCCTTATGTATCTATGTAGAATCCTAGCCCCATCCCTAGCTGTCCCGATACTTCTGGCTTGGCCCTTATCTCTGTCCCTGTCCCTGGTGCCCAGATGTAGGATCCAGGCTCAGAGGCCAGGGCTATGACAAACCCTGTCTTGTGGGTCCAGTTCTTTGATCCAGGCCAGGTACTGTACACATATGAGTCTCCGGCTGGTTACGGGCTCATCGGGCTGCAGGTGGCAGCCTACGTGTGGTTCTGCTATGCTGTTCTGGTGTCCCTTCGTCACTTTCCTGAGAAGCAGCCCTTTTATGTGCCCTTCTTTGCTGCCTATACTCTCTGGTGAGACATGGTGGGGGCCCTCAACCTGATTCTCCCCACAACCTAGAGCATTATTAGAAAGGAAAACGGGATTTCAAGAGACATGGTTGGAGCTGGGCAGTGGTGGCACACACCCTTAGTCCTAGCATTTAGGAGGCAGAGGCAGGTGAATCTCTGAGTTTGAGGCCAGCCTGGTCTACAGAGTGAGTTCCAGGACAGCCAAGGCTACACAGAGAAATCTTGTAAAAAAA